AAAAAAAAAAAAAACAACTGGAAAATATTTACTCATCAAAACATCATGAATTTATTTTTCTCAAAAATGTGAAAAATTGGAAAAGTTGGAAAATAATTTCTCGAGAACATTTTGCCTATCAAACACTAAAAAAGTTCGAAAATTAAAAAAAATTTTTATGGAAAATATGTGTTATCAAATGGGACCTAAATGTTTCTCGGTGACATCACACTTCATATTGGCAATCTATGCTATTGATTAAATTGTCGAAAATTTTCAAAATAGAAAAGTATGGAGGGATAAGAATATATTTTGGAAGAATGTATTTTGGAATAGTAGATTGATAGATAATGTATGGTTGAAAAAAGAAGGAAACGTTATTGATGTGATAAAATATATTATTTTATTGAAAAATATGTAGTTGAAAATGAGTTGAAGAATGAGAATGAAAAAAATAATGTGAACCAACACTTGATGACTTCAATCAACCGGCCAACAACATTCTAACCGCCCAAAAACATTTGAAAAAGGCCTTTCAGGGAAATACGAAAATATATACTAGAGGCAAAGGATGACAAAAACAAAATTTACTAGTTTCAAACTATATAATGAGCAACTGATCCAAGGCACATCAGGGGCTAATAACAAAAAGAAAACCTACAAAAGCATCCAAAACACTAAAAAGTAAAAACCCATAAAAGCAAACACATCGAATATAAAAAAAAAAATGTTTTTTTGTCATTCAAATACAAAATTTCAGTAAAGAAGTGCCTCACGCATTGTAAAATGAACCGGAAAACTATATCAAGGGCACAAGGTGTTCATAAAAAAAATAGACAGACGAGAATAGACGAAAATGACAGCCTAACTCAATAGCCACCCTTAAGATCATTAACCACATCATATGGAATAGGTGTTACGGTTTCCAAAGTAGCACCTTCCACCATGAAGCCAGGTTTTGGTCCTCTAGGCTGCCTTTTGGTGCTTATAACCTCTCCACGAGCCTTTGCCTCAGCCTTCAACTGATCATTCCTCTTGATTCTCTGCAGGACTTCCTCGTGGCACCTACTAGGCTGAACGTGCTCGACACGCACATGTATTCTCTTCTTGATTATCCTATTACCTACCTGAATTCATTCACAAGCATAACTTTATATTTTATAGTCTACAAGGTAAAGTATAATGACAAATCAAAGTAAAATTGTGAGGGTAAAACCAACAAAAATAGGTGGACGGAAACTGCATATGCATATGAAAACATCACAAATAAAGCAAAGAAATCGTGCAACGCCAAAGGGAGAGAGAAGGATCTTTAAATTACGAACTACAACCCAGGAGCAATTGCAAGCAGAACATTTAACAACTTGTAAAGCAAAAATTGCAGTTCTACATTGAACTGGACAAAAATCATACTGGTAAATGAAATACTTAGGTCAGCAAAATCAAGGTTCCTTTTTTGGTTAATTTGCTTAGCCCTTGTTTGGCTACGGTTTATAAGCTCTTTATAATTGGTCAAACCACTTTTTATCCACTTGTAGATAGTACCCACAAATACTTCTCATTTATCCACCACTAATTTCTATATCTACTTATAATTTAAACCAATTATAAACAACTCCCAAACATGGTTTTAATTAACAAAATAATGGATTTGTGGAAAGCAGAAATAACTGATGCAGATGCATTATAAAGGAGGTACGAACATGTTAAGATCAAATAAAAAAGCTACACAGATAAACAGAAAATTCTTACAGATAACTGATGCATCTATCTAAGAATGCAAATGAACACCGTTACACCTGTCGATGAATTATTTATAAGATTAAAGACGTAATATCTCAGCCAAATTATGTTCACATACTAAACAGAACGTAATAATAAAAAATAACAATATCATATTCAACTACACTAACCCTAAATTGATGTAATAAAATAAAACGAGCAAACTTTAGAAAACTGTCATCTAATACCAACAGATCTCAACCAGTAGTAGACAAGCAGACTACAAATGCAAACGCATACATAACGTTGTTCCTAGTACAATGAATGCGAAATTGATACAGATTGTGTATGTAAAGACTGTACGGACCTGCTTGTTGACTTCAACGCCGATGGCACGCTTGGTTACGTTCCAGACCCGACCGGTGCGGCCATGGTAGAACTTATGGGGCATGCCCTTGTGAATGGACCCATTCACCTTGACATCCACATAATCCCCAATTTTATAGGTCCGCAAGTAGATAGATAGTGGTGTTGGACCCTTCTTCCTGAAGGGCCTTGAGAACAGATCCCTAGTTCGCGACCTCAAACCGTGTCCCGCCGGCATTGTTGGTGGTTTGGCCAAGCAGAAAACGACCGATAATTTGCAAGGGAGAGGTTGTTATATCTGTGTGGTGGTTAGGGTTTTAGGATGGGCTAGCCATTTTTTCAGTAGGCCTGTCAACCCAAATAATCCTCAATGTCTTATTGGACTTGAAACAAACACGGACCTGATAATGGACCGGCTCAACAAATTGAGCGCCTGATTGATCCTCTTTAGATTAAAATTTATTTTTTCTCTTTTATAAATCACACATTTTTCAATAAAATAATATTATAAGTAAATCTAAAATTTTTCCTTCTTTTTCAATCACACATTTTTCAAAAAATTACAATTCTGCTCATCAAAATGTAAAATAATAGAGCTTAAATAAGGGCTGAATATGATTGGAAAAATGACACAAATGGTCCCAAATGTGTTTTTTTTTTAATCCAAAATTTTCAAATTTGGCGCAAATGATCTCAAATCTTTTGTATTTTTGGCACAACTGGTCCCTTAGAATGGATATTGTCAAAAGATTCCACTCATCAAAATGTAAAACAATAGAGCTCAAATAGGGGCTGAATATGATTGGAAAAATGATGCAAATGGTCCCAAACATGTGTTTTTCTATCCAAAATTTTAAAATTTGGCGCAAATGATCTCAAATCTTTGTATTTTTGGCACAACTAGTCCCTTAGAATGGATATCGCAGAGAGAGAGAGAGAGAGAGAGAGAGAGTTCTTCATGGAATATAATTACCCTTATTTTGTTTTCTATTTGAAGGGGCATTTTTGTCAAAAGACTAATATACAAAGTTAGGGACTTAGGGATGACAAAAAAATTCGACAAACCCGTTACCAGCGAGGCCCCACCCCGAACAGGATGGGGATAACTCGCTTAATAGGAAATTTGGGGCGGGGGACGGGTAACGAGTGCCCCGCCCCATTAAAATTTTTTTTTTCGAATTTAATATTTTAAATGAAAATTTCCACGAAATTTTATTAGTTCTAAAAGAAAACGACAACTAAAATTATTTGTCTAAATATAATGAATGTGGGTAATAAAAATAAATTATCAAAAAAAAAAATTTAAACGGGGCAAAGATCCCGCCCCGCCCCGCCCCGCCTTAAACGAGTAATGGGACGAGGCGGGGCATTGCTTGATTTGGCAGGGCAAGGGGGTAGGGGAGGTTGCCCCGACCTCGTTCCGCCCCGTTGTCATCCCTATACAAAGTTTGGGCTAACCTGCTTAAAGATAATGTGGCTCAGCTTGCCCTAGGTGGGGTGAGAAACTAGCATGGTTTTTATTTTTCCATTATTTTTTTTTATAGTTTTTTATATATCATCTTCCGAATGAGCCAATATGTGTGAGCCTACAAGTGGCTTGTAGGAAAAATCCAACTCAACTTGCGTCATGACTTGACTTTGAGTTTGAGACGAGACGAGCTGAGCCGAGCCGAGCCGAGCCGAGCCCCGCTCAACATTCCTACCTATGATGGCTTTGGCAGGCCACCCTCCATTAACTTCTGTTCAGTGGGAATTAAAATCAGATTTTTAGTAGATTTTATTAAATATTAATAAAATATGTAGTTAAAAAGTTTTGGATCTCATGAGATAGCTCGAATCTCAATGTCCGATCACGATTGATTGATGTGACCAAGTGATGACCACTTTTCTCTAGCTATATGATGTGTGCATTCTTCATCGAAAAGGGCAAGATAAAAATCGTAGTCATTCTCCTCGAACTACTTTTTCATTTTGATCCCATTAAATAGGGGTGTCCAAAAATCTCAAATCGAACCGGACCGAACTGAACCCGAACCGAACCGAGCTGTTTTTCATAAATTAAATACCCGAACGGGTACCCGAATCGAGAACCGATGGGTTTGGGTCGCGTTTCGGGTCTAGACCAAGAACCGCATAAGAACCGAAACTAAATAATTTTTTTATTTTTTATATTGAATTAATTAAATTATTTTATTTTTTCATACAAATTAGCAAATTAATTAAATAAATCAGATTATTTCATAATTTTTATTTTGAAGCACAAATCATTTTAAAAATCCATTAGCCCATTTTAATTTAAAGTAAATGAATATACTTTATGTAGTTTTGTTGTAATATTAATATCTACTTTTTGGTATTTGTATGCATTGAATTAATCTCATTGGATGGCTAGTTATTTATATGTTTTTGAATTCGACTACGTTAATTTGTAAAAATTACAAATGAAATGTCATTAGTTGTATTTATGTAGTATTGCTGTAAATATTAAAAAATTTAATTATAGTATGGAACCGAACCTGAACGGTCCATAATTATATTTGGACCTGACGGGTCCATTTATTAAATACCCGGAAGTTTTGAGTCGGTTCGGGTCTCTTCAGAATCGAACCGAACCGACCCACGGACAGCCTTACCATTAAATTTCACGTCGAAAAATCTTTTGATCGTTACACCCAACTTAGCCCTTGTTTGTCTCCCATTATGAGAGAAAGAATGGAGTTTTGAATAATATTTTTTGGAGAATGTGTAGTTAAAATTTAAAGAAATTTTATTAGTTTGTGTGTAGAATATTTTCTTATTCGAATGTGTGGTAGATAATGTTACTGTAAAAACATAATATTTTCAAATAAAGGAAGACAAACAAGCCCTTAGCTTGCGGTCGCCTAAATTCCCCCGCTTTGTTAAATCTTTTCATGCCATACAACCTAGCAAATCATCAAAAATTGGTTAAGATGTGTCACACCATTTTTAATCGTCCTTTTTGGGTTGAAAGTTTTGTACTTGTTCTGATCGATTTATTATTATTATTATTATTTTTTAATAGTGGTAATTTGAGATTAAAAAGTCAATAGTAGCTATCGTAGACAAAGGTGTCAGATTCTTATAGAAATGGACTCTGACTAATCGTCGTAGAAGAAAGACCGAATGAATGCCTTGATTGCTCCCCGGTCTACGCGAATGAGGGCACGGCTGATCCGTTTCTAGAAAATGAAAAGATTTTACCAAAACAAAAATTAATAAATAAATCAAGCAGAGGAAAGTATTATAATTAAATACTGTTATGTTGAACAAATTATATCTAAAATTTGTTGGGTCATTTGTTTTCTAAGATCGAATACATAGTAATAAACAATAATATAAAATAAGAAAAAGAAACTGATTAGTACTACATAATAATTTATACGTTGATACATCACTTTCAAATATTATGTCCAATAAAATATTTTTTTGGAATAGACATTACAAATAATAAGTTGTTTGTAGAATTGTGGAGGTCCGCTGCCCAGTCCAGACGTACCATGGACCTAACCTTATTTTTCTGCAAAATTCTAAATTTGCAATTGGTCCATTGCGTGGGCGACCGTTCACGACCCAATATTCCTTGACAAACATATATTTTCCAAACAAAAACTCCATATTATTTGGTAGAATTTTCCGCATTATGTTGTGCGTTTCAGTCCTTTTTCTTTCAAAATATTTTTTGAAAAAAAATGAAACTGAGGTCCTGTTTGATATTACTTTTCGCGTGACCTCTATTTCCATGTTTTCATTGAATCCATGGGGGAAAATGGTTTTCCATTTTTTTTTATTGGCAATTGAAACAAATTCTATCTCCAATTGTAATTTTTTTTTTCCCTTTAATAGATAATTTTCATGAAAAATAAAATCAAACGAACACCAAAATATCCAAAATTTCAATATTATGCGTAACATTCTGGTTCCAAAACTTTTCCTCGGCCAGATCGGCATAGCATACTATTCTTGAAAACGAAAAACTGAAGAAATTAGTGGATTCATGTGGAGGAAATTAATCGTTTACCAGTACAACTCTATTTATAATTGATTAAATAAGGCATAAAAAATAGATACATGCATGGGACCACGATTAAAAAACTTTAGTTACATTAATAAATGCAACATTTTTATTTTTTTTAATGAAATAATATTTATACTAAAACCAATAAAAATTATAGTTTTGTTGTAGGTAAGCTCCATAAACCCAATCATATATTATATTACAGAAAAAAAAAATTTATTCTTATCGATAAAACTACAAAAATCTCTATTAAATCGTCACATGATCTTCATTTGTTATGCGTTATGAAGTAAAATATTACTTTCAAACATATTAAGACCACGTACATGACATGTTAAACGAAAATTTGAATAGTCCCATCATCGAAGACTTATTAATGTTTGGTCGCGTACGTGGATGAACTTTCCTTTCGAAAAGGTATCGAAGGTGAATCTTCCTTGTATATATAATGGAACCTTTCAAACTAATGCCATCTTACTTTCTCATCTCCTGAAATTCCTCTCTACATAACCAACCTGAATTTCCACCATGGCCAGTGCAGCCCTAAAACTCATTTCCTCCATTTTATTTCTTTCAAGCTTAATAATACCCAGATACAATTGTCAAGAATTTTCAAGAAAATTATCGAAGGAGGAGTTCGGCCTCAAAAAAGAAAAACTAAGCCACCTCCACTTCTACTTCCATGACATACTCAGCGGCCGAAATCCCACCGCCGTCCAAGTGGCTTCGGCCGCCATGACTAACACCTCTTCCACCTTGTTCGGGTTGGTGACGATGATCGATGATCGCTTGACAGTTGGCCCAAACATGACCTCCAAACTTGTTGGAAGGGCTCAAGGCATTTATGCATCGGCAGATTTGGATGAAGTAGGGCTTTTGATGGTTTTGAACTTTGTTTTTGTTGAAGGCAAGTACAATGGTAGTACCCTCAGTGTGTTGGGGAGGAACAATGTGTTCTCCGCCGTGAGGGAGATGCCGATTGTCGGCGGTAGTGGGCTTTTCCGATTTGCTCGTGGCTACGCTCAGGCAAAGACTCACCATTTTAATTTACAAACTGGGGATGCCACTGTAGAGTACAATGTCTATGTCTTCCATTATTGATCTGCCCCTAGTACAGCTACCGTCCCCAATCTTTGATATAAATTTTGGAATATCCCATAATGTCGTTTTCTTTTTCTTGTATTATTGTTACAAGTGATATTTTCGTAGAATTTAATGATGTTTTCAAAATTTTAATAAGATCCTATTTGTTTTTAGGTTTAATTAATGCTGCATTTTCCTTGCAATCCAAAGTTAGTACGACTTTCCGGACATTCCAGTGTGAAAGATGGTGAGTGTCAAAGAGAAATTCTGAAAAAATAAAGAACAAACGTATCGAGATTTGAACTACTCTTCTAACAAGGTCTTTTAAAATAGAACCACAGTCTTGATGTTGTATTAAGTTCACAAAAATAAAACAAGCAGTTCGACGCATCTATACTCAAACTAACAACCCCTTTTTAAGATTGATGTTATCAAACAAGCCACCATCTTATATAAGTAAGTTAAAGGTACAATTCGCATCAACTAAATATAACAACAATACCAAATATATAAGGGTCCATTTGATTGCAAATGTTGAAAATGGGTGAAAAGAAAATGAATTTCAGGAAATTGAATTGCCTGAAAATTGTTTTACTGGAATGTAATTAATTGTGTTTGATTGGTATAATTTTTCACCTGAAAAATGTTCAAATTTTGGATCATTTGGTGTTCGTTTGACTTTGTTTTTTATAGAAATTGTCCACTAAAGGGAATTTTTTTTCACAATTGTGGATAGAATTTCTTTCCGTTGCCAAAAAAAAAAAAGTTGGCTTTTCCACCAATTCAAGGAAATTGCACCCGTGTGAAGCAAATCAAGAAAAGTAATTCTATGGAAAAGTTTTTTCTGATACAAGACAAAATGTAAAGTTGAAAAATATTTTCCATTTTTCATGGAAAATCTTGAGCTATCAAACAGGCCCTAAGGGTTTGATCACATCTACTCATCTTAACATTATTGATATTTTAAGATGGAATCTAAGGCGTGGAGTGAATTCTACATTTTCCTTTCTTCAAGCTCGATTATGTATGTCTTTTTTTTATTTACACAGCTAAGAATTAACATAAAAGGACAAATGAAAAATGGAGAAATCAATACATTGTATAGTGGTTTAAAACGTACATCTCTCTTTTACTCTTTCGAGAAGGAAGCAACGAAGACATGAAATCCCTTTCCTAGTTCTCAAACAATTGAAATGCCAAAGATTTAGAATACGGTACATTAGGCGACGAAAGGAATTTTCAAATCTTCGTTGCTTGGAATTCATTATTTGATTAGAATGATATTAGGCTATCTTTCGCAGTTTGAGATAAATAAAGGTTCATAGGAGGTATACCATTCCAACCCCTGTTTGCCTTTAAATTAAATTTTTTTTCTACGTACTCATTTTCAATCACATATTCAAACAATAAAATATTCTGCACGTAAATTCAAATTTTTTCTATATTTTTTAACCATACATCCTCAAAAAATTTACTATTCAAAATATTTTTTTGGTAAATAATGGCCACCGAACATGGACTAAGTTTGAAAATCTAAGTGCAAAATGACATCAAGTGGCTCTTATCTACGGTTCTTTTGTTTTACTATAGGAGATGTATAAGTGAACATAATAAAATATCCACGTTGATAGCCTATGGAGAAACTAAATATTTTAGGATGGTTTCCTTCTAAGAATGAATCTATTGTACATGGCAACGTCATATTGATGGTTACACAAGAGGATCTTTTGGGCCAACCAATGCAGCTATGGAAATAGAAGCCCAAATGTAGGGACGGATCCAGGACCGGATTACAGATCGAGCTAATACGTAAAAAAAAAAAAAAATTTGCACAAGAATTAGCCCGGTCCAGCTCCAACACCATCATAATATAAAAAACCCTATACTATATGATGCCATGCAATTTTCCTTGCTAAACATGCCATACATGTTTTGAATCAGTAAAGACCTTACGTTGAATTGTGTTGGAAAAAGAAAATTCAAAGAGTTGGAGTGGAATATTCCTCCTATTCTACACAATGGAATTGTTGTTGTACCCACATATTTTAGGAATTAAATAGGTTTGTCTTCTGTAACTTGAATGGTGTTGATTTTTTAAGATAAAATCCAAGTCTCAATACCTTTGCAAATGGAGGTAACATCAGTGAAATTTTTACTTTGGCCACCTAATTGAATTCAGGATTTCTTCACTATGTTAGTTTAAGACTATGGGTAAAAGATTTTGAAGAAAAAACTACAACTAAAGCAGCTATGAAGTGGAAATAGTTATGAATTTAGACATTAGGTCTTAGGATTAGTACATCTTTTGATGAATTCTTGGAATTCAGTTTTCTCTAGTTGATCCTTATTATTGTTGGGAAAATTTAAATCAAACGTGCATAAATTATATCCCAATAACGTACCATAGACATGCGTGAAATCGAACAGAGTTTTGTTTACCGAATACACAAAGTAACAACAAGAAATGCATGAAAATGAATTGGTCGAAGCAAGAGTAGAATTCTTTGTGCTTAATACGATAATGTACTGCACGGTCGCTAATGGTTGGGCAACTCCCTCCACCGCCTCTCACCACCAATTGGCCATGAGCTTGTTCTCAACTGTCCCAAAGAAGCCTTCCATGGAACCGAACACATGGGTTCCAATTTATTCCTTCCATGGCTGACAAGAAAGTGCATTTGCGAGTTTTTGGATTGAGAGAAGACGTTTCCAATAGCATAAACAAAAAACCATTTTCATTCCAGTGATCCAACCATATAAATTAAGTTTGTATGGATTTCATGTAAATTATACGATTATAAATTCTTTTCCATCACCATGTGTTCCCATAAAATAAGACATATTTGAACACAATTAATGATATCCATCACATGCACAAAGGTGGGTTTTCAATTCTTTAAACCTTCCTTTGTCATTTAATATACATTTTAGATCAGAAGTCAACCCCAATAACGGTAAGAAATGATTCTAAACAGAATTTTAATATTGAATTATGCACTAAAACATAATATAAAATGCACAACAATTATCGTCTTAAGCTTGTTGGGAAAATTTAAATCAAACGTGCATAAATTATGTTCCAATAACGTACCTTTGACGTGCGTGAAATTGAACAAAGTTTTGACTTATTGAATACGCAAAGTAACAAGAAGAAATGCATGAAAATGAATTGGTCTAGGTAAGAGTTGAACTCTTTGTCCTTAAAACTATAATGTCTCGCACGGGTGCTAACGATTTTTCGGCATTTGCATCCCTATATACAATGACTACATCTCGCAATAGGAGCCTCTAAATTACTTAGACCAACAAATCTATTAATGTTTTGAACACTCTTTATATGAATCTCGACTCCAAATAATGCTCAAAATATGTTGAAGTGAATATGCATTAACATGATAATGCAATGATGAAAAAATGAATGAAATGTTGAAAATGTTTGTCTCAAAAGACACAACCCTACAAAAAGACACATATCTTGAAATTTATCTCTATACATAGAGATACACCCATTGAAAATACCAAAAGTCATGATTTTCATATGGAAGGACACACGTTTCCATCCAAATATTTTCTACAATATTCCATAATATTCTATACGATTTTCCCAATTATTTAGGATAGGAGGACTTAAAAGCAAAAAAAAAAAAATATATTTGGATTCTTGATTAAGAAGATGTAAAAACTTTTATTCAATAGTTATAAGGGGTCAACACATTGAAGCCCCTATATTATCGAGATCAAAATCGAAAATTTACTTACCTATTTTCATAAACGAATTTTCAAAATTGAGTTTAAAATTTACAATGAAAAGGGAAAACGCCAAAAAAGTCGTTTGACTGTTTTCAGTTAAAACCAAACCAAAACTTCAAAACACGGAAAACGGTCGAATTTTGCGAATAGCGGGGTAGCTTAGTTGGGAGAGTCACAAATTTTTTGAAGTTCACAAATTCGATTATGTTTCACCACAATTCAATACAAAGAAATTAAAATTTCTTTTTATATGCACAGTACATTTTTTTAAAAATAAATTGGTAGGTGGCTAATATTTGAAAACGGATTACCAACATGGAATTTCAATGCCTTAAACACAATGACAGCCGCTTTTGCTTTGTCGTATAAGTTAAAAAAAAACTGTATATATATATATATATAGAAAGTAAACGTGCTTTTTATTTTTTTATTTTTGAAAATAATTTTTTAAAATGACAAAAAAAAACGCTTTTTCAGCAATTTCAAAATGAACACTCAAAATACAAAATCCAAAATAAATTGAAAAAACTGAAAACTGAAATACGAAAAGAACAACCTCTAATTTTTAGGGCCAATAGGCAATAGATCCGTATCGCATCTTTCTTTTCTTTTATACATTATATACATATTCTCGATATTTTCCGGCGGTCCCTGTGTTAATGGATTTTCGCTGGTCATTAGACACATTATAAACTATGCACTTTAATCTTTTTGTCTCTCTGCCCATGATATGCCTAGCTAATTTTCAGCTCTAACATTTTATGAGCGTGAGTACCTAGATTTGCATTCTCCACGCACACTATTTTACATAGGACGTAAAAACATATTACAGTTTACGTGCGCAAGTTTATGCGTAAACCGCGTTATATATCTCTATTCATAAAAGCTGGCTTTCTCACCCACCCACCAACTCAGTCTCCGGGCTCCAGCCAGTTAACCCACCACCATATCTGCCCACTGTCCAAACTGTCAACCTCGTTTCCTAGCTTTATCGGGTTGTGGACCGATGTTTATTAAATTACATTGGTCTCTATTTGAGGCACTGTGGTCCTAAGATTCATACAATTAATGCATGTACTCTTCATATGTCTCTGTTTACTGCCCCTTATTTATCAGCCTTTCTGTACATGTATTTGTGTACTTGTCAAATGTATTAACTTGTGGGTCTTCTCGTTGTTGTGTTGTGTTATTACTGTGTCAACTCTTACGTGCTCATGATGTTAATTTCTTCTTTCTAAATACTGTAGAAGTCACAGTTAAATGGGTAGAATAACAGTAAAATGAAGCTGACTAAAATACATTTACATTGTGGAAAAGTTTGCAGTCCTTAATAGTACCATCATCAATGCAGCACTGCAACTCTTAATGACATTTCATCCCTGTAATAGCCATTTTTGATAAACTACTTCAAAGCGAAGACACGAGTAGCTAACATATATGGAATGTTTGGCACTTCGAATTGAACATGGCTAGAATGGACCAAGGACAAGACGATGAAAAAAAAATTGTCAATTGTCGTGTATTGTGTGGTTCAGCGATCAGCCACATCAATAGAAATCTAATTGAATTAAAAAAGAAAAAAAAAATCAGATCTTCGATGAAATAGATAAACACAAGTAAAACGAGTGCACTCATCCACAAAAGTCTCTTTCGCTAGAATTGAATCAAATTCCAGTTGATCTTCCGCAATTCCCCATCTGTCCATAGTCTACTAATTATCTAATTTACATATTACTGCATAAGAATTCTTCGTGAGAAGACGTTTATATCATGGGATCACTTTTATTTGATTCAGTTTCGAATATAGATGTCTTTTCAATACATTCTTCACGGAAAACACTTAACTGTGATAAATATAATATTTACGAGGGAAGAAGTGACAAGTTGCATAATATTTAAATGAGCTCAGTTAAAATAATAGATGAGCTAATTGCAAAGCCAACTGATAAGTCATTCACATATAGTAGCAATTAGTGACACTATCAAGATGCTTTTTTTAATTAATTAAGAAAAGGAACAATACTGTTGAGAAGATTACTACTAGAGATGTAAATCCAAACTCACATGACCCTCTTGCATGCTTGGCTTCGATTCATATCCCAACCGGTTTCGGGAATTAGGGTTACCATTTGATGATGGCTTCAAGTGACCGTCATAGAACGATGGGAGCTGATGCATAAAAGTAGGGGAGCTTTGAAGGGATGGGACTCTCCACAAGGCCGAGGGACTCCCATTGACAGGTGGTTGCGTGTAGGATCCATGGTGAGTACCGTTTAATCTTGAGTCACTAGCGTAGGAATAATTGCTTCTATTGCTCCAAGAATGATGATAAGCCATGGCTGCAGGTGGTGCTGAGCCAAGGCGATAATTCATGACACCATAAACGTGAGGGTCAGATAGGCCATTATGTATGAGTGCAGATTGAAGATGCGCACGTTTAGCATTTTGGCGCTCCCTCTTGTGTGCATTCTGGTGGCCTCCTAGAGCTTGAGAGGTGGGAAAGTTTCTGTAACAATAGTGGCATTCGAATTTTCTACCGCCATCCCCATTATCGTTGGTTTTAGTCTCTTCTCGAGAAATAATTTCACTGGGCTCGGATTCATCATTAGCTGATGAGTCACCTACAAATTCTTTACCAAAGAGCCTGATGGCCTTTTCTTTGACTGGAGCCGGACGAATAAAGGGTAGCTGAGAGAATGATTCGACGTTCATGAAGTCGCGAGTCTCGCTCTCGCTCTTCTCCATGGATGTACGAACCTTTTTATCTGGAGTACAGTTTGTAAAATGTTTTAAGGAGAAGTGGAGAGAAATGTGAAAGAGGGAGAAAAATGTCTTGTAGAAGGGGACTTGAGAGAGGGTATGGTGGGACCTCATGCATAATTGGAGCCTCAACCATTCCTTGGATATGGCCTAAATTTTGATGTTTAGACGAGAATGGATTTTGTCTTACATTTCTTGGTTTCTATTTTCGTTTTACTCTATGTTAATGTTGAATTAATAATTGCAAAACCGTTCTCCCTTATGCTGTGGACAGGATAAGGTTGTCCACTTACTAATGTGGCATAAGAACATTAGTCATGATTCTCTTTAAACATGAGAGCTATAAGTAAGATTTTCTCCAAATAAACAAGATAAACTTCTCACTATGAGCTGGCATTTGTTAATAGTTGTCCATATCATTGTCTGATAATCAGAAAGCAATGCTGTGAAGCACATTACTTCATATGGTTAAAAAGGATTAATTGAGAGAGAGGTGTGAAAAGATGAGTTTATTGGTGGGTGAAACCCTCTGGACCAGCTGGTACATACTACATACATACAATATTTGACAGTACTTGCTGTCTTGGTTTTGCTGTTAACTTATTTAAGCAATTGAAGGAGCCATTAATTCTGCAAGGTGGTCCTTAAAATGTTACCAACATGTCACATGAAATGAGATGTCTATGCAAACATGGACTACTTGTAACGACCCGAACTTGCGCCAGAATTGTTATCATATCGTATGTACTGTTCGCTTTGGGAGAGTCTAGACCTATTTTACTCCTCACGGCTCTCTGACGCGTCCCCCAAAATTCGAACCCATGACCTCCATCATGTGGAAAACTTAAGTTGAAACCTCGTGCCGGAGCTGTTATCATATCGTACGTACTGTCCACTTTGGGTGGTACCGGGTTTCAACTTAAGTCTTCCATATGATGGAAGTCTTGAATTCGAATATTGGGGGACGCGTCAGAAAGTCGTGAGAGGTAAGATGGGTATAGAATCTCTTAAAGTGGACAAGTACGTACGATATGATAACGTTTCCGACGTGAGGTCGGGTCATTACACTACTCATCTTAATAAAACTGATATTTTACTATGGAAGTCACTCTTCATAACATTCAAGAATTTCACATATTAAACGGTTTACAACAAAAAAGAAAATTTACTTTAATTGAAATGTTAGATACCAAGTACTGGACACTGATAAAATTTTTAACTTGTTCAGCTTAACTACTTCCGCAATATTTACGTCATCATATCATATTTATACCTTGTACAACTTTTGTAAGTAGGGTTGAAAATCAATTTCTTACTCGTATAATTTCAATTAAATTCTCTTTTCTTGGCTAGGAATTATGGTCATGTGAGGCTGCAGGGGTGTTGATATTTGTTGTTGTTTGTATGAGAAACTCTGAGCATTCTGTGAGTCTGCAGAGTATTATTTAGAAATAGCAATTAAATGATATGCATATTTTGAGTAATCTTGCACAACAGTCTGCTACATTCATGCATGGAACATTTCAAGAAAGTTATATATTAATTTAATTTAAATTCATTTCTTTCTCTTCGTGTGATTTTATAATATAGTTCCTGATTTTCTAGATTTGTATCTTAATGGAAGGATAGACAGCAACATTTCATCAAACTGGAAATCTCCTCACCAAAACCATCGTTTGGGGACCAAAATTACACGGATTTGGCTTGTTTAAGAGCCTGTTCGAGCCCTTTTTTTTTGGCCTAAAATGCATTTTGAAATAGTATTTTGATGAAAAATGTGTGGTTAAAAAATAAGGAAAAATTTTAAATTTACGTATAATATTACTTTATTGAAAAATGTATGATTTAAAATGAAAGAGAGAAAAATATATTTTTGAAAATAATAGAGAGCATATAAATGTAACATATCAAATAAATTTGAAATAAATATATTAATATACAGCAAATAAAGGTCAAGGTTACCGTTAACATACCCCTGTCATCTCTTTTGACAATGTTGGCTACATACTTCATACTCGTGTGCAAATTCAATTTTTCATTCTAAAATGTAACACAGTGAAATTGACGCTCACTTTTTTTTTCTTGACTGTTGATAAATGTAAACATTACACTCATTTTGACCATAAAAAATGACTTCTGATTGAAATTTTATAAATGGGATACTTAACTTTATTTTAGGAGACAACTCTGAATTAGACGAGAACGGATGAAAATGAGCAATAATTGATCAAAAATAAGTAAAGTTGGACTTATTCTGGCAGTTGGAGACGAAGAGTTACGTTTAGAAGTTGAAGGACCTCAATTATAATATTTAAGGATTCAATCTGAATTAAAAGAGGAAACAAAGACTAAATGGCACAAAGAAAGATTAAATTTCAGCAATTTGATATATCATAATTTGACTAATATTGTGGTTCTCAATTTTGTTGGGACTCTATTTTTTATCTAATTTAGGTCTGTAGATAAGAATCTTTCATTCAAACAAAAAGAGAGGGTAGAGATACAATTATGAAGCTAAATTACACATAAAATTCATAGAATCCTCAAGATATGTATCCCAATTTAGGATTTGAAAGTTGAAAAACACAATTGATCAGGAATTATATAAGCTTTGAAGAGGAGATTGATGATCCATTGTTGGGAGTTGGATGTTAAAGAACAAAAATTGCTATTATTTTTTTCTCTATTCCTTGTATTGAACCCGAATGATATTTTTCATCTTTTTTGTTATTTAATTCCATTTATATGATTGACTAAATAATTGATTGTTAGGATGAAAGATGTGGCTTAGGTTTAATGTTTATTTAATTCAATTTGATTAAGTGTTAATTGCTTATTATGTTTAATTGCATTAAATTGTTTGATACCAATTATTTAATTTAAGGAAAATATTAAGATCGGGAGGAGATTTATTCGTCGAGTTCAAGCAATAAGTGACATAGGTATTATAAAAGATCGAAAGACGATTACAGGCTATGCAATCATGATTGAATTACAAAAATTGAATACTTTCTCACATGTATGAATTTACACAGAGATATTTCAAATTCGGGCATGTGAATATGATTAGTTTTGCTCTACAGAGATTACTAATTAAAATCGATTAATTTGATTATTAATGCATATGAAAAAGGTGTCGAATAATATTGGATTGAATAAATGTTAATTAACCTAGGTGAAATCGAAGTTTCTAACCCTTTAATCCTACACGTCTCCACAAATTAGGTTAATTTAGATTCATTTAGAATAAAATAGTTATAACTTAATATCTTGAATTATTAATAGGATACTGCATTCATTTAGATTGAAGTACTTAATCTCTATGGAAACAATACTTTGACTCAAAATTTTACTTTATTACTTGTCACAATTCATGTACTTGCAGAATCAATCGAACAACTGTGTTCATATGGTGCTCTCGGTGTTTGTCTGCTAATGATTAGCTCATCGTGCACTTATGAAACCCAAGTCACAAAATCGGTTTCATCGCCTAAATTCCAAGACTAGTGTCTTCGATGAATCATTCACCAACTCGGATGAACATGATATTGATATAGATAAAAATATAAATGCAATGAGTTAGATTATCTTGTACCTATCTTCCCTATCCCCATTAGTCATCTGACAGATCTAGGATTAGATATATGTATACATCAATAGTTATCAATTCTCTACAAATTGTACCTATAAATCGGCTGAATAAAGTGTGGTTGATATTTCGCTTTACTCAAATTCAACATGGCAAAGCTAATTAATTATGTGAAAATCATATACTCAAATTTAGTAATTTGAAGCTGCAATCTCTAAGAAGATTTAATATTAATGACGGTGGCATTTTGGTCAATATATTATTGTAAAAATATATACACAATTTAATGAATGAATTTTACATGTTACGTGTTTATGTTACACATAATTTATGGTTTGAAGACAAGTGTTGTTGTCACCATTTATCAAAATGAATAAAGCCTTGTTGATTAATTGGTTGACATTAAGTTTGACACTCCATGTATTTTCAAATGCAAATGGACAGGAAAGTGTATTTTATTTTAAAACTGTCCACTCATGCCACAACACGTGACCTAATGTCAAACTTGATGTCAAGTAAAGTGTACATGTAACATGATTGTATAAATATTTAAATCAAAGTTTATAATTAATTTTAATCACACGTTTTTTAGGACATATAACTTTAATCAACTTTTCAACACCACATTTTATCAACTTTTATCAAAATATTAAAAAAAAAAATAATCTAATTTTTAACAAAATCAAACATGGACTAAGTCAACCCATGCACATGTAAAATCTGAAATTTCTCTAGGCAATTTAACTTTTGTCTTACATATAACCTTTGCTTGCTTCTTTTCTTCTTGATTTTGGTGTGTTAATTTGTTGAATGAAGACGAAAAAGATAAGCGTTTTCTTGTTGATCAAACGAGTTGAATCGATTGAGACATTACATTTACCTAAATATTCGAACAATATTAGTTTTCTCATGCGTGCATGGCGTAGAATCTGTAGACGACATTAGATGTAGCTATCGTATGGTTACAAATTTATAATACCCTCTTTTTTATTTCTTTCTTGACATTAACTTCCTGTTTGATTTTGCTAATAATCAAATTTTTAGCAAATTTTAATAAAAGTTTATGAAATGTATGATTGAAAGTTGATAAACGTTGTGAATTCCATAAAAATTGTTATTCATTCTTGACTTGGATTTAAACTGTTATCAACTTTTTTTAGTTAAACCAAATATGAACTAAATATTTATAATTGTTTCGAAAAAAAAATAATAATAATAAAATATGGGCAAACATTGATGAACTTGAATATTGGAGAATCCTTAAAAAGCTCGATGGGCATCAAAACAATATTAGTATAATATATTAATGTTGTTGTCTGAAACTGAAGCTTAATAATTTGGATTTTGGACCACCCCAGGCATCTTTTCAGATGTTGCACTAACCTTATGAGATGAGATGTACACATCTTCAAACTCTTAATATCCCAAGTCTCTTTCTTTTGATAAATTAATTAAAAACAAAGGTCTGACAACATATACATAAAGAAAATAAAACATTGCAACCCAATTGGAGAACTTTAACTTATTTAATTACACATATCTTGAAAATTATAATCTATACATTTTCTAGATTTACAATTCTCTACTCATTATGGAAATTGATTCAAGATTTTCCTAAAAAATATACACCGGAAAAAAGCCACACATTTTTGGGCTTATTTTTCGAATAAATCACCACAACAGTCATCGATTGAAGCTTGATAAAATCAAGGATTGGAGGTCTGATATGGAGCTGAAAATACTGAAACTAAAATGACAGAAGAAAAATAACAAATGATAGGCCTGCTTAATGCAGGGAAGAAGTAGAAATTTATTTCATACTTGCTTAAGGAATTACATTGTAATGTATTCTATTTATAGAGGAAACTAGCTAACCAATTACTAACAAATTAACAAGATAACTAACTAAGGAAAGATCTAGAATAAGCTAGAATGCTGAAGCTGGAAGAGGCTGAATCGTGTGCTGATGTTTGTTGAACTGGAGGTGATCTGTTAACTGGAGAGAATGCTTTACTGGTGAAACTGGATAATGGACAGCACGTGAACTGGAGCTTCATTGAACTGGAGAGATGGTGAGCATGCTGAATTCACGTCTGGTTTGCTGGTGTGTCTGCTGATCTGCTTTGCTTATTTGCTTGCTGTTGAGCTGGTTTTAATATTCCAACAAAGCTACTTTTGTCTAGTTAATTTAGCGATCTTTTATTAATTCAATTATGCTCTACCTCTCCCTTCTTGTCTATAGAATAGAATTATAGGAACAAGAGAGAAACAAGCAATTGTTCATGTCAATGTATAAACACTATTTTTTTTTTGGCATCATCGAGTGGTCAGTGGTCCTAATGAAACACGAGTCCCGGCCCATAACCATTAATTACTTACACTTGTCTAGTGTTCTTATCTTCTACTTCATCCCAACTCCACACACGTTTAATTTTTTTCATCTTTTCATTCCACTATTCCAACTTCAATGTATGGTCACACATTGTTGCAATAATATGTATAATTGTGTCGAGTACGCCAACTTATCTTATTTTTCATATCAATTCAAGAATAACTTTTTGATTCCCTAGTCTTGTGTGGTTCTCCTCAAAAAAATGTTGATAGCTGTTGACATACAAAAGTGTAGTCCAAAGAATGAAGCTCAATTAAGAAGTTCAGTAATAAAGCCCACAAACAAAGTAACATCATCGTCCAAGCCTACAGAACTCTCAGAAATCTAAGCGAATGAAGTGCTTTATCGTTGCCCACAACGATGGACCCGTCATCTCCCCAAATTGTTGAGTCGCCCTGGATCCTAGTAAAAATGACGTCTTGTTGTTATCTAAAGCAACGGTTTCTAACAATTTGAGCACATCGCGTCAAGTCCCATGATTTAGGAATTTCCATGGCAAGCAGTTATATAAAAAACATAGTGGCAATAGTTACGAACGGTAGTGTTCGACAAGTTGGCAATGACGAAAGAAAGTGGGCGATTACAAGTAGATTCCAAACGGTTGAAAGCTGTTAAAGAAGTATAAAAGAAAAAAGAAGACAATGAAGAAAGAACTGAATAAAATCACTCTTAAACAGAGAATATGTAATTTACTTTTCTTGAATTAATTTTAATTTATCATTTTCTTGTACTCGTGTGTTTGTGCCCCTTAAAGGCATCATATCGATCTTCAATTGTAATCTTCATCAATAAACACCCATTTTTGCAATTTTGTCTCAAGAGGCTTGTTCCTTACACAAACGTCTAATTCTTACACAAACGTTTGATCTCTTTTTAATTGTTAGCGACTACCTGCGCAAAATAATAGGAAAATCGTAATCACACAACACGTCGCCCCATAAGTAAAATCCAATGAGTTGGATGTATCCTAGCTCCACAAAACCTGCATATTGGATTCCTTCATACCCCAACAAAGAATTGGACACACTTACATTTCTATGGAATTGATCTCTTGCCCCTAGTGGGAGAGAGAAAAATGTGAAAATTTTTCGTCATGTTCGTTAGGGGTAGGAAATCAGGCTTGTACATTTCTATTTCAGTCATGCTCAACTTTTATCATTTTATCACATTTCCTCACTTAATGTCTTCTAAATTAATAAAAATAGCTTAATTGACAAGCATATGATAACTGATCTTCCACGTAATCACTACGTGACAACCATTAAATAAAATTGATAAAATGACGGTTCTAAAATGCCTCTATATTAAAATGTTAAAGATGTTTTTTTTATTTACACACTTATATCGAGTGTCGAGTTGGCATGTTCACAATAATTACGTGAAAGATCCATTGCCATACGGTGGGTTACTCAACGTTAAATTTGAAACCAATATTTAAGTTCAGTGACTAATTGAAATAACACCGGGAGCTTAGTGACTCAATTGAAACTAAATTCAAAGTTGAGTGACTAAATTAAAATTAAATTGAAAGTTCAGTGATCCAATTAAAATTTCCTGAAATTTACCTGAAAAAACAACTAGGGAGGAATAGGATAATACGGATGAAGATTATAAATTTGTTTAACTGAAAGTTTAAGAAATAAATCTTTATTGTTTTAATAAGGTTTCCTAACTTATTTTCGAGAAATGAATTCCATCCATGAAGTCTCCTTTTCTTATTTATCCCAAAGTTACTCTATCTCCATTGATTCGCCCCTATACGTACGTCTATCTCATTGCAACATGGATGATAATAGCAACAAACTGTGCTTTTTTATGATTAGAGCATTTGAATTTAAGGCTCGGTATTAGGGAGTTTACTGAGAATAGTGTGCTCTGGCTTGTGATCACACTCATAATCGAGATGAACAAAAGCCCTTTCAACTTCAGCAAGTTCTTCAATCTTTATCTGCAACGATTCTCCAATTGCATGGGCTTTCTTCAAAGGCAAATCCTCAGGAAGCTCTATGTCCACCTATTATGTTTTTCAAAGTTAAAGATTATGAACTCTTTCGCGAATACTTACTAGAATTCAATAAGGTATAGAAACGGTGCTATGAATTGAAATAAGGTTACTTCTTAAGGTTCAAGAGAGTGTACAAACAGGTGATGAAAGGGAACCAACATGGATTAAGCTTACTTCAACAAAGTAGAGAACGCCGAATGTGTAAGCGCGAACTGTATCAACCCGCTTGATTTGAGGACTGTGCCTTAGAACAAGATATGTGAGTTTCTGCAGTACTTCAGGAGGAGCTGATTGTCCCACCAACGAAACTGTGAAAGGGAGCAACAAGCAATATGACAATTAGATACTAACATCACACTATAAAATACAACTCAGACTTCTCTTATCAATTTATATAGGTTTGAAAAAAAGATTGCACGAAAATTCGACTTAGATTTTGCTATTGAAACTCGACAACAATATGACTAGATGCACTGACTGCACGTGGGGCTAGCGAGTCGGCATCCGACACATCACCATACCGTGTCCAAATTATTTTTTGATTTTTTATAGTTGGACGTTGCCTGTACACTAGTGTAAAAATTGCATGTAGATATCTCCGTATCATGTCATATGTGACCCTCATGTCCATATCATTGCTTCCTAACAGTACAAGATACAAGATTTCACCCACACAAATTTCATAGATATGAATTATGTCAACCTTCTAAGTGCACCTTTTAGCTTATTTCATGAAAAGCCTTTGGATGATATGAGCACAATTCTGTCTCGAGTTTTTGAATTAATCTAACTATCTCGTTACTACACAAGAATAGGATGAGGAGAAACCTGCATTTTCCAACACAGTTCCTGACCAATTTGAAATAGTATAGAAAGCAAGAATTATAGCTCCAGAAGGATCGATCCACCAGTAGAACTTATTGCCTAAAACAGCAGCAATTAAACCAACCACATTTGTCACCACATCAAAATAATGGTCCTGATGACATCATCAAAAAACAGGGTGAGTACAGAGAACTACTACTTAATAAAGGAGTGGAAATAATGTGCACCCATTTGCTCTTTGAAAGTGAATACTTAGCAATAACAAAAGACCTTTGCATAGGCTCGAACAATCTTGTTTCCAGAGCTTCTGCAGTAAATCCAAAGAATGAGTTTTACTACAGTCGCTGTCAGCATGATGAAATACAACCACACAAGTTGGTTTGAAGTCATGTTTCCTACAGGTTCAGCTTTGATCAGCTGTTCAACAGCCTGTACAAGCACCTGAAAGCCTGAAAGAAATAATATTCAAACGCAGCATAGTGGAACGAGTTCTGTAGTAATCACTTTTGCAAGTGATTATGGCAATTCTAGGGACGTTCAGGCTTTATGCAAACTTTTGTTCATTTTTAGATATTAAGATGTTAGTCATCAAAATATAAGAGCCCAAGAGAAGAGGCATCATTGCCTACCAAGAGTTGCCATGATAGCAGCAAAAATGATAATGCCTACTGGTTGCACTCTTAATTTGCCAATAGGATATTTGTAGATGTTTATGCTTTTCATCGACAAGTGGGTAAACCATAGTATTCCGCCGGCCATAAGATCAAGCAAAGAATCCAGCGTTGATGCTGCAATAGCCAAGGAGCCACTTTGGACCGTAGCATATATCTGCAATTTATTCAGGATACTTGATTTAGTGAGACAACTAGCTCTTTAAAACTAGAGAAAGCAAGTTAGAGTTCTATTGCTAGTACAACTTGATCCAGCGAGTGCTGTATAACAATGTTTGATTACCGTTGTGCAGTGGGTGTGATGCAGGATAACTTGAGAAACTGTTAAATCTATGGAACGTGTACCTTCAATGCAAGCAGGAAGACGTTTGCCAAATTAGAAATGTTCATCGCCCTTTCATGTTGAGCTTGCTCTTGACGGTCTAGCTCCTCATCAATGACATTGGGGGAATCAATTGAGTCAACTTCCTCAAAGGACCTCAAGGTGGCAAATTGTCTTTCATAGTATTCTTTCTCGCCTGATACAAGATGAAATCATGCCAATTATTGAGAAAGACGAAATAGACACTATGTCTTGTTAATTTATGTTTCAAAGTATGATCGAAACGGATGAGAGGCAATCATATATAATCATGACAATTAATAACCATGAAGGTATATTATTTCAAACTAGTGTTTGTTTTTCTATTCTGTCTAACCTTAACAAGACTGAAAACGTAATCAAGTCTAATTTCCTGTCCAAGAAGTCTGAGGAAACAACAAATTTTCCCAACTGAAAGATTGTATACTGTGACAAAAACATGAACACTTGGCATACCTTTTGACAAGGCAACAGTTGTAGGGAAATCATAGCGGAAAGGAGCCTCAGGATCAAGACCTCTCCTTATTTTCTCAGGTAGTTTAGACAAGAAATCGCATTTAAAAAGATCGACTGAATTCCGACTATTTTGGCTGTTGAGTTTGAGTTCTTCAACAGGCAACAATGGCGTTTTCACATCCATTAATCAATCCCCAAAGGCCAAAACCAATGCAAAATCGGAACAGCTTGCACAAAAATATCAAAATCCCACTCACTAAACTGCCCAAATATCAAGATTTTCTATTGAAGGAGATCCATTTTTGATATTTGTGAAACCGTGAAATATGTACTGCAATAAATTTAATGTGACTGGTAATATAAATAACATTAATTGAATCCCAAGAAAACTTTAAGCAGAAACCCAGAAATCCAATGGCTTCCAATGCTCGCAAATTAAAAGGGAAAGGTACGTTTGAAAGATTTCGTAATGTAAAATGTCGACTGGTAAATTAATGAAAATTGCAGATATGCATGTAACTTTGCAAAGTGACACGTGGGTTTTGGACAGTTCAAGGAAAAATTGCAAAAGCTAATTCTGCGCAGTCCATGGCTTATTTCAGGCATGAATTATTTGACTCTCTGCATGCCCATACAAGTGTCCCACGTAATTTACGACTCATCAATTTCCATATGCAAATGGCAGTATTTCAGAGAAAATATTCCTGTTAACGTGACACAGTTAGGATAAACGTGTAGAGTATGTATTGGATGCCAAAACTAGAAAAACAACTTTTATATCGTTTTTATTATTTTCATATTAAATTTAAAATAGTTTCTCACCTATCTCCTTTTTTTAATGACATTTTATAAGAAAGTGGGGTTTAAAAAATAAGAAAATTTATTAAATTTACGTGAAAAATATTTTTATTGTGAAAATATATTGTTAAAAATATGTTTGAGGAAAAACAAGTTTAAAAATAATTAGAATCAAACTGGACTATATTTTGTATTATAAATAGCGGAAATTACATCTAACCAAATTTTTTAAGATCCAATTTAAAAAATCAGGTCTAAAATTTATTTATACAAATATCATATATTAATTCAAAATCTTAATATTAATAATTATATTACAAAATTAAATTAATATACATATAAAATCACACAACCCAATCAACCATCCAAAATCCTAATCATTTTCCTATTCTCTTCTCCCTCTATCTACCTATCTCCTCTCTTTTTCTAACATCTTCCTTCTCTCTATTGGAAAATTTTATCGAAGATCACCGCAAATGTCATAGCTACGATGACGTGTTGCTGCTGCTGTGTGACATCATCACTGTAGTGCGGCGTGAGCAGCTGTTGTGCTAAGTGCGCAGTAGCATCTGCTGATTGTTGTTGCGAACGGAGTAGATGGAGGATATGGGGAAAACTTGGTCGTAATATGGGGAAAACTTGGCTGCTGCTGCGGCGAATGCTTGAGTTTTGTTAGTCTCAATCTGGGGAAATTCAGTCATGATCTGGTGTCGAAAATTTTAGGGTGAGTTTTGTTGGTTGTGTGCAAAGTGGTGGTGGCTAGAGGTGGGCAAAATCCGACCGAACCCTTCAAAATCGCCCAAATCGAACCGACCCGATCAGTTTGGATAGGTTTTTTTGTTGTTTTTACACGGGTTAAGTGTATTGGTTGTGTAGGCAGATTATGTTAACTCATGAAAATCGAATAAAGCCGCCCGACTAATCCAACCCAACCCTACTATATTTATGAACTTTACAAGTATTATGATGTTGTTTTAACGAAATTGAATCACTTTATTTCTTCACACAACCTCCAATAGCTACAATATTTAGAAAAATGTGGATTAAAATGTCTTTCTTGTTGGGAAAATTTTGTGTAATAGTTGAAAAGTTTGAGGAAACCATACGCAAATCATATACTACTAATTAACTAGGTTCTATATATGTAAACGCGATACACCAGAAGTCTTGAATATAGCACAAGACATGAAAACGCTTTGAATAATATTATAAAACTTGGATAGAATGTATTTTACAAAAAATAGTATAAGCAAATACACATTCAACACAAAAATATTTTAATTGCCAAAAATATTTCTTGGTTTCATATAATTTAATATCAATCTGTCCATGTAACATTTTCAGGCATGAAGTGCCAAAATAATTAAGATTTTTTGTTCACTGCAACTATAGAAACCTAATATTATATAAGTCGTGAATCACTTATAAATTCGCTCAATCCAACCTGCCTACTTTAATTTTTGTTGATAAATTGTCCCAAAAAGACCAACTCAATCCAACCCGACCGATACTTGATTGGATTGGGTTGAGTTGGGTTCCAACCTTTACACGAATTTTGTTGAGATAAATTATGATCAAACCGATCGTGTTAGGTTGTGTTTGGGTTAGAGGTGTCAAGACGGACGGGCCGGCCAGACCCATGAAAATCGGGACCGCGGGCCGACCCGTGACCCGTGCGAGCGGTTCACGGGCTAAGGAGGTAAAACTCGCGGGTTTCGCGGGTTGAACCCCAGCGGCCCTTAAAAAAGATTGAAAAAAAAAATAAAACAATTTTTTTTTAAAAAAGGGGGAGAG